CTCATCTTCTTAGTGGGCATCTGTATTCCTCCTAGGGTTGAGCACAGATGGAAATGAATAATAAAAGGAAGCTTATTGTAAAGAAAGCCAAAGCAGGAAAAGAAAGAGACTTTTAGCTTGGCATACAAGGGACTTGTGAAAGTGGAGGGGGAGGGAGCCAGTCATCAGAATGTGTCTGATTGTCTTCCTGGACCTCAGGACCAACTGGTTAGGGTGGCTTTTCTTCTTTCCCCCTGTACTTTGCTGTAAAGAAAAAAAGGACAGTAGAGTTTCATGGATGTGAAACAGGGGCATGTGGAAAAGAATGATTAAAAGCCTGGGAAGGAGTAGAGAACAGGAGTGGAATCTGGGGGTGAAAGGTGGGGGGAAGAAGTCAGGACAGACTCCCTGGCGAGGAGAGGCTTCCTGAAGAAGCTAAGGTCGACCCATGGATAGTACTGAGTTGAGAGAGAAAGGTTACTTTCCCTCAGGAGGAGCCAGCAGGTAGAAGACCCAGCCTCAGTTGCTTAGCCTTCCGCCATCCCCGTGGATGCCGCCCTCTGCCTGGGTTGCTGTAGGGACTTGTCCTGGATGCCAGAAGGACTGTCCTGCGTGCTCTCCTGCATTCTTCACGTTGGACTGCAATGGACCGTGTCACTCTGCGCTTCCGATATTAAGGTGACAGTAGTGGTTGCAGATCCTCTGCTATATCTTTTCCCATGATAATTGGTGATGACAGTTAAGAATCAGCATTATTCTTGACAATGCTGAACTTTACCTTAGCCCCTTGCTCCTAAAAAGCAGTGATAGTTATGAAACCCCAACCCTCCCCATCACTTATGATATTAAAAACACAGGCAACAAAAGTAAATATAGATAAATTAGACTATCAATATTTAAAACTTCCGTGTATTAAAGGACACAAGAGAGTGAAAAAGCACCCTGTGGAATGGGAGAAAAGCATTTCTAATTCATATATCTTATATGGGGTTAATAGTCAGAAGACATAAAGAACAACACCTCTACAACAAATAACCAAATAACACAATTCAAGAATAAACTAAGGCCTTGAGTAGACATTTCTCCAAAGACAATGTATAAATGTCAACAAGCACATGAAAAGGTACTCAATATCAGTAATCATTGGGAAAATGGAGATCAAAACCGCAATGAGATGCAACCTCACATCCTTTAGGATAGCTATTATAAAAAACAAAACAACAACAGAAAATGGCAAGCGTTGGTGAGGATGCGGAGAAATTGTAACTGATAAAAAGTCTCTCCTGGACTAAACTTTAGTCAGGCTTCTCTGAATCCTCTGTTCAGCTAGGCCCTGACCTTTGAGCTTCTGTGTCTGTATTTGCATTTGCCTAGTTTTAAATAAGAATCCTATTAAATTGTAACCAAACCACTCATCACACAACAGCCAATAAGTCGCGTCACAATATTTTGGGGCAAGGAAAGCAGCTTTATTTGGAAAGCCTGCAAGCTGAGAAGATGGTCCTAAAGAACCATCTTAAGAAAGTACAGAATTCAGCCTTCTTTTATGTCAAGGGAAAGGAAAAATGGGAGGGGCAAGGGGTGGTTGACAACCATAGACACCTGGGTGCCAGAGGGGTATGAGGACGATTGGGGAACTTCTTTGTTCTTAGTCTGTTGCCTCTAGTGGATATGAGTCCAAGTTACGAGATTCCTACATATCTTTGATAAACAATTATTATTTTTGTATATACTTCCCTGATCTCCTCAGGAGAGGCACCTTCTGGTAAGGGGCTGTTTTGGTAAAACTCAAGCCACAAGCAGAATTCCTCTCATGATTAGCATATCTGTGTGCAAGACCAAGCAGAAGCTATTAGTCTGAAGGCCATGGGAAGAACGCAGGCTGGAACAAGACGGAGTCAGAGAGGCCAAGCATTTCACTCTGTTCCAAAATCAGTTTAGCTAGAATGCCTCACCCTCCATATCAGAGCACCCTCAATATCTGACTCAATTCCTCCTCGCCATGTTCTCCCAGGTGGTATCTGACCCTTGCCTGCTTTCAGCAAGAACCCTGTCAGGGCCGTGTAGCCAGCCTCCTTTTCCCCTGGTATTTCCTCTTAGCGACTTTCCATTCACGCATGCCCACCCTGCTCCTTCCTTGGCTACAAATCCCCACTGTCCGTGCTGTATTTAGGATTGAACCCCGCTCTGTACTGAGGTCTCTTTTCCCCTATTGCAGTGGTTCCCAAATAAAGCCTATATTTTACCACTTTAGTGTCAGGCTCTGGTTTTCTTTAACAGAAAGAACTCTTGTGTACTGTTGGTGGGAATGTAAAATGGTGTGGAAAGCACTACAGAAGTTCCTCAAAAAATAAAAATAGAATTGCCATATGATTCAGAACTTTCTCTTCTGGGTATATTTCCAAAATAATTGAATGCAGGCTCTGAAAGGGATATTTGTGTACTCATGTTCATAGCAGCATTATTCACAGTAGCGAAAAGATCGAGTCAAACCAGGTGTCCATCAGTGGACGAATGTATAAGCAAAATGTGGTACATACATGTAATAGAATACTGTTCAGATTTAACTAGTGAGGAAATTCTGATACATGCTACAGCATAGATGAACCTTGAAGACATTATGCTAAGTGAAATAAGCTAGTTACAAAAAAGAAAAAAAATACTGTATGATTTCACTTACATAAAGTACCTAGAGTAGTCAAATTCATAGAAACAGAAAGTAGACTGGTGGTTGCCAGGGGCTGGGGGTAGAGGGGTATTGGGAGTTGTTTAATAAAGTTTCAGTTTTGCCAGGTGGAAAGAGTTAGGGAGATTGGTTGCATAATAATGTGCACTAAACACATAAAAATGGTTAAGATGGTAAATATAATGTTTTGTATATTTCACCACAATGAAATAATATTTCCAGTATCATCGAGAAACAATTGGCAGGCATCACTGTATCGGTTGAAAAAATGCAGCATGATGGCTTGATTTACATATATTGTGAAATGATTACTGCAGTAGGTTTAGTTAATACCCATAGTCTCACATAAATACAATAAAAAGAAAAGGAAAAAAATTATTTTTGTGATGAGGACTCTTAGGATCTACTCTCTTAACAATTTCTTGTGTATTATACAGCAGTGTTCACTATAGCCATCATGTACATTACATTCCTAGTACTTATAAGTGGAAGTGGAAGATGGTACATTTTATGTTATGTATATTTTACCACCATGAAAACATTTTAAAAAGTTAAAGGAGAAAGAAATGCCCCATCCTTTTGTGTTCCTGGGGTTAGGGCAGAGGACCGCCCTTCCCCATATGACTTAGGTAAGCTAAGCGATGACACCCCTTATTTCCCTGTGACAAGACCAGATCTTCCAAATTCCCATTCTTTGCCTCCTACATGATTAGCTAAAGTCTTTGTCCCTACTAATTAGTCCAAACAAAATACCGTTCAGTCTGACAAAACTTTTGCCAGGTTTCTTTCTCCCCTTTCCACAGGCCCCAGGACCTTGCCCCGCCCTGGAGCTTAAACAAACAGCTGAACGTGCAACAGTCCTTCTTTAGGGACCCCTCCTGGAAATGGGCTGACCACACACAGACATTTCCTGCTCAACGCTCCAGTCATGCCGCCTGCTTGTTCCAGTTCCCCACACCCAGTTCTTCCTAGCTGTGCTTACTTCTCCTCATACAAAAAAAAACCTTTCTGCCTGATCTTTGAGAAGGTTGTAGATGGTAAATTTGGAGCATGGTTCTCCCTACTGCAGTACTTCCCCTAACCTCCCCCACACCCACTGCCGCAGACTTTCAAATAGTCTCTCCTTACCGAAGTCCCGATTTGCTTTTATTCTTTTATTTGACACTTGCAAAGTATGGGAATACCATTTGTACCATTTGACATATGGAATATAGTGAAAAGAGAGTTAATGTATGAATTGTTTATATGAGTGTATAGCATATGTAACACACATGTAACTGGGGTATGTGAGTCTAACTGTGTAGTATATGCATATACATGTTTAAGTGTGCTAGCTAAACATTATAACTTTGTCCTAGGGTATTATAATTGTTCTTTATACATATGCTACTTGGAAAACTGTTATTACCCTGTTTTAAGGGATGTCAGGTAACACTTTTAAATTGGCAGTTAGTTCAGGAAAACATTCAATTGTGGACCCTTAAACACCTATATGGAGAATAAAAAGTGGTGTTCATCTGGTTTGGTTTGCTCTTTGAGATTTGAAACTAGTTTATTCTAAAGTTGCCATTTTGTTTAGACTCTGAAATTATGAATTGAGTAGAAAACAAGTGTTCTTTGTAGTAAAAAATAACCCTTTTAACCACAACCAGGACATCTTAGAAGCGTCCTGATTTTCAATTCCCAGTGTTTTCAAATGATTTCCTTTTGATTTTTAAATTGCTGTGTGTGTCAGGATTCCACATAGGGAAATTATGATAAATCAGTAACCATGATAATTAATTTGGTAAGCCAAAGTTCTTGGTTAACCAAAACACACCACTGTTCTAGCTTCAGGGGATACTAACATAGCAGCAGACGTTCCAGGTCAAATCTAAATATTTTCTTTTCTTGATGTAAAGATTGGCCCATTCTGGATTTTGTTTTGTTCTTGCTTTTTTTCCAAACATCTTTCTACTTTTAACTGGCAAGTGTTGAGGAAGACATGTTGCTCTGCTATAATTAAGCTTGGTATCTAGAAAAATAGGAGGTTTGTGTTTTATCACATCTTTGTATTTTTGTACTAAAATGTCCGTCCATTCATTCGCTCTGTGCAGCAGATATGAAGAGTATGAGATGGCTGTACCGAGGAACACCCTCTACGTGAGAACCACACCGATTTCTTACGCTTGCCTCCCCTCTAGTCCTATGTCAGTCAGAATGTGCCAGCTCTACTCCCACTGCCCATGCATTTGACTGACTGGCCTGCTTATGAATTATATGGAGACTTATGCTCTTAAGTGAGATGTGCTCTTAAGGGATGTCTTTTATTTTTTTCATTTTCTTTTGTTCCTAGGTCCCAAATCACCTAAACTCGTTTATGTCTTGAGCTGATTATATTCAGAAAGAGCTGATGGCACTCTGGAAAAATCAGCCAAAGTCTTCCTTCTACTTGTGAACTTGGACATTTTTGGTCAAAACAGAACTAGTGATCTCTGATAGTATCAGATCTAATCTCGCTCCACAGGTAAGGAAATTAGGACAAAAGAAAGTTAGCACTTTTCTGGTATCCTACGGACAACTAGGTTCCTAGAACTCATCCTAGAAAAAGTGCTACACACCTCATTACTGAATATCACCATGGTCACCTTCGAAGCACTCCCCTTGGGAAGCTATGCACTGATGCCAGCACCTAGTCCACCCTTCAAAGCAATTAGGGAACTGTTTTACTGGAATGGCCATCAGAGCTGTCATTGTATTACCCCTTGATGTCTTGAATGTCATCAAAATGTCTTCCTTTCAATATTTCCTTTATCTTCAGGTAAAAAAGAAGTCACTAGGGGCCAGATCAGGTGAGCAGGGAGGGTGTTCCAATACAGTGATTTGTTTACTGGCTAAAAACTCCCTCACAGACAGTGCCGTGTGAGCTGGTGCATTGTCGTGATGCAAGAGCCGTGAATTGTTGGCCGTCTAACTTTTTCATGCAGCCTTTTCAGCACTTCCAAATAGTAAACTTGGTTAACTGTTTGCCCAGTCGGTACAAATGAATAATGAATAATCCCTCTGATATCAAAAAAGGTTAGCCACATCATTGCAACATGTTCACGAACTTAATTGTCAGCCTCGTGTGTTATTTGAGTGACAGAGCAAGGTCCCAGACACCTTGGTCACCACCACAGGTCCACCCAATTGCATTGCCTGACGTTTGAGCCAGATAAAAGTCAGGAACCTTGCATAAAAACTAAATTATTAACTTTCTACTTTGTACATGTGACAGAAGGGAGAGACTGAATTTTAGACCACAATAGTTAGATATTTGGACTGGTAGTCACAACCTCGGAGACTGTCATGGGTTGGTGTTATTTAGGCAGGTGGTACCCAAGTGTAAATTGACGTAGGCTATTTGACCTTTTACCCGAACCAGATTTCTCTGTTTTCTACTAAGTGCTTTCTTTTTCATGGCTTGGGCCATCTTGATTGCAGTTTCTTGACTTGAAACCGAGCTTCTTCATTGGCTGTTACCACTTCAGTGGTTGCATGATGCCAGGCAGACAGAAGGCACCAAGCACTACAAACTATACTTGTGCAGGTACGTTTTCCAGAGAAGTACTGGTTTAAATACGTTAATGAAAAAAAAGCAAAACCACAATCCTCTCATTTTGATCAGGAAAGTTGAGTAATCAAAGAGGAAGCAGGGAGAAAGCGTAGCTCTGGAAAGTAGGACAGCTCGTGGAGGCGGGGGGCTGTGTGATTGTCACCTCTTTAACTGTGGGTGTTGGTGGGAGGGGGTACTTGGCCACTTCATGATTTTGGTTGCCTCTTCTGTAAAATATAACAAAAGCATTGGATGCTCTCTAGGATATTTCCAACAATAAGACCCATGACATTAGATTCCAAAATTAAATGTTGAATTGTCAAAACTATGGTCTTAACTTTTTTCCCCTTAGGTTTGTCCATGGTAGAGTATATATTCATATTTCCAAACAATCTTATTTCTTTACATCAGATAAAAGTCCAGCAGAAAATTCCAAGCAATGTCATACATAAGTTAACAGCTACCTTAAGTATCACAGAGTTCAGAAGCCTCAACTCAGGCCAGCGCTGGGGCTCGTGAAATCCGTCTGTTTGTTGATTTCTCTAGGAGACCCTTTCTGTTCTTGCATCTAGCTCAGTGTGCTGTGATAAATAATGCAGCGCCATACGAGGGGGACATTTTAAAAAGAGAACAAGCAGACACAGAAATGGAAATTAACCCCAGGCCTGCCAGCCTCCATCAGGAATAATGGCGTCACCTAATTCCAGGGTTAAATGAGAGGTAGGTGCCTTTTTACTGAGTTCGGCTCTTTGTCCTTGCTTTAGTGTGGCATTGTAGCAACTGTCATGTAAGGTTAATGACAGCCCCTCATTACCCTTGTCAAATATGTAATAATGTGGCCCAACAACGGGTCTGAATGGCTTCTGCTTGTCAGACCCCTATGTTTTGCCTAGCAGATGGCCACTGTGTTTGGAGAGGCCCTCGCTCAGATCCATCACACTGATATCCTGAACACGTGTGTGCGCAGGAAGCATTTTCCCCTGATGGGACAGTGTGTGGCTAGAATACAAATTGAGCACAGCAAGTCGACTGCAGACTTCACCCTCCCTCCCTCACTCCTCCCCCAAATCCATGCTAGTTTTCTGTTGGGCTGGGGGTGGGGGAAAGGGAAGATAGGACCTTTCTTGCCTTTCTCCTTCTATTATTTCCGGCGACACACAACACTTTTCAGCTGTGAGACGCACCCGTTTTCCAACCCTTTATTTGGATCATTTAGGATGCAGCACCCATGAAATTTAGACATTCTATTCTCGGAGACATGAAAACAAAGGAGAAACAGCCTCAGTGAGGAAAGTGGCAGGCAGGGGCAGGGTTTACTGGAAAAGAGCTATCGTCCAGGTGGCAGGAAGCGAGAATTCTAGCTGGTGACCTTGTGCAAAGTCACTCTTCTGCTCTGTGTTCTCCCCCAGGAAGGTCGCCTAGCTGCAGGAGTGAGAGACAGACTTGAGGCCAGACACAGGAAGGCGTCTCTGTCCTGCCCCAGGGCTGCTCCAGCAGGGCCTCGCTCTTTACACCATGTCACTTCCTTTCTCAAAAATGAGTAGTGGCTCCCAATTGCTTCAAAAATCAACTTAAAATCTAAATCACGCCTGCAGAATTAGTGACTAGGCAAGCCACTCTTTTCCCCTTACTAATCTCGTCTCACAATTTTTTAGGCTGCACATGCCTCTTCAGACACAAATCTCTCCTTCTTTCCATGCATGAATTTTCTTGGCTTCAGGTCTTTGCTCATGCCTGACCTCCCCTATGAAATTCTCTGATGCTCTCTCTAATGAGTTCCTAAATGCTTCAAAAAACATTGCTTGAAGACCGCCCACTAACCCCACATAGATCTAGTAACCCCTGCATCTCTAAATATTCCTTATAAGTAAACATTTACTTTCCTGGTTAATATACATTCCAAAAAAATTAGAACTATAAGAGAATTTATACATCATTCTATACAACCACTTCATTTTGAAGATGCAATAGTCAAGTCTGCATTGGTCAAGACAAAGTTGAAAGAGCTAAATGATAGCAAGGGCAGCATCTAGGTCTTTCAATTCTGTTTTGCCTCCCCCCCCCCCTTACAGCAAGCAGATAGCCCACTCTTATTATTTCACTATATGAGGTCAGACAATTAAGTTTGAGAACTTTCCACCATGTAAGCACATGGTGGAAAGTTTGCGAACTTAATTGTCTGACCTTTCGTGTAAGAGCTTATTGCCATCATTTGTTCTCTCTCACATGGAGTACAAACTCCTTGAGGGGAGATGCAGCCCGTCTTACTTTGTAGGTCAAGACCCCACGCGGTTTGGTGGCCACCGGGATATGTGGCTGCAGGTCTTCATGTTGACACCAACCCCTTTTGTAATCTCCATGACATTTAACACTTTGCCAAATTATCTGTTGGCACTAATTTCTTGGTACTAACCTAACAAGTGACATTTTCTTTTTTATTTATTTTTTGTGGCCATCCCTGAGGTTAGCGAGCTCCTATGAAGCAATCCTCCTGAGCAAAATGTTGTGTTAGGTCTTACAGGGCAGAAAAGCCTCCAGCTTAAGACACGGAGGCATTGACTGTGTTGTGCTCCTTCAGGGTGGGGACAGCCTACTTCTACACAAACCTCCCAGTGATCTGAGTAGCGATGCTGAAATAAACCAGAGGGAGTTGCATCCAGCCTTTCCAGGATGGAAAAGGAAGCAAAATAAATCCTCAGATCTTTCTAACCCAACCTCCCGGGAAGAAGATGCTATTTCAAATGATTTTAGATTTGGCATTTGCTGAGTGTATTTTTTTTTTAAATTTCATAAAATATGTGAAAATTTCAGCATAAATGTTGAATAACTTTGCTTCTTAAAAACAGATCTAGGGCCGGCAGAGTGGCGCATTGGTTAAGAGCTGGTTTGGGACGCCAGAGGGCCCCAGTTTGGATCCCACATATTAGGGCCAGTGATGCTGCGCCCTCTACAGCTAAGATGCTGGACAACAGCTCAACCTGGAGCTGGGCTGCCGTGAGTCTCCGGTGACAGCTGAGTCGCCGGTGATGGCGTAGCCTGCAGCCCCTGCTGCAGTGGGTTGCCATGGGCTGCCATGTGTAGCCAGCAGCCAGCATGAGCGGCCAGCAGCCACCATGAGCGGCCGTCCAGAGGCTGGCGACTGGTCTGCCTTGCCGGGAAGAGTGCAATGATGGTGCCAACATGAGCCAGTGAGGCGACGTCCTCCACAACTAGACTGAAGAACAAAGGGACGGCAACTTGTCTGTTCCCCTTCCCCGATTCCCAGCACTGTTCCCCTCACTCAATTCCCCAATAAAATCTTTAAAAACAAACAAAAAAACCAGATCTAGATGACCATAGACTACTTGTGTTCTCTTTGATTCCAGATACTCCCTCAAAAGTTTTCCCCACATTGTCTGATTGAGTTGCATTCTTGCTCAAAATCACACAGTACAATGTACTTCCGCCACAGCCTTCCTAATCCATAGGATTGTTTCCTTTGAATATCATCCAAGTTTTACTCAGTAGTTGTCGTTTAGCAACCATTCCTTACTCTCTCAGCAAACATTTACTGAGTACCTGATATTTCAAGTATTATTCTAAAATATAGAAAGAAATAAGACAAAATGTTTGGCCTGTAAACACTTGCTGTCTACTGGTAGAGGAGGTATACAAAAGCGGAGAAAACTTATCATTCAAACATATCCTCTTCCTACTCTGTACGTCCTCTGGTCTTTCTCCCTTCTGATCTCCAAGTCTTCTCATCTGCTATGTGACAAGGAGGCCTTGTCCACACTCAGCAACCTTCCTTATATTCCCAAACTCTTCTCTGAATGCTGTTTGCACTTCCTGAGTCCTTAGTTGACACCCAGCTGGTCCATATGGACTTGGTTTTCTTAAGACAGGTTAATTGTTCATTCTCTCAAATTACAATAACTCAGGGCTGAGGTTGGGAGTCAGTGCCCTCCTCAGTCCTTGATTCAATTCTGGTCATTATTTCTGCTCCACCTTATAAAAATCCAACTCCATCCTACTAATTTGAATGTTATATACTATGTAGTAAAACCACCTGTCTCTCCTCATTGTGTGGTCTGCCAGTAATCTCTTGGTAACCAACCCCTGTTTATTATGAGTCTAGATCTCACAGACAGCCACGGAAATGACCCCTCGGTTCCTTGACCACTTGTCTTTCTTCTCAGCCATCTTCTCCCATAGTCACCCTCTACATGTTTCCATAAGCAGAAACCATACTACATTTAAAATAACAAAACAAAATGGCGCATTTCCCCCCCCAGTTCACTTGTTGAAATGTACCCTGGAAGCATCAATCCATAGATTTCTACCATCTCTTTTCCTCCCACTTTCTCCGGGCTTCACTTGCCTTCTTATCTGTGAGGACTCAGTAGTAGATCATTATAATCACTTCTTTGCAAGAGCCTTCAATTGTCTTGCTCCTGTTTTCATCCGCCATACTTTCTAGCCACAATATTTGTTGGCAAAATCCCACACCGAGATAAATTCAACCATCTGTGTCCCCTGTGGCTACATCTGAGCAGTTGATTGTTGCTGGTGAGAATTATAAACGGGGCATCCAGGTTTCCCTTCAAATGTATCAATACATGTCAAATGAGTACTTAACATAGCCCAGAGATTTCTGTTTCTCTAGTAAGCTTGCCCTAAAAGACCACTCTCATACCTATTCCTCTCTTCAATCATGTCTGTCTCCTTCCCCAAACATTTCTTGCCCAGTATTCCTGCTCCTTGACTGGACCCCTTCTTTTTGACAGCATCCAGACTGAGGTTTTAAAAATGCAAAATGGCGTACCATTTTGTGTACTACAGTGATGTCCCATTGGACCAGAACTAAGTGCAAACTCCTTACCATGGCCTGGCTCCAGCCTGCATGTCCAACTGTGTTTCTTTCTTCTCGGCCACTCCCTGGCCAGGTCCATTCCTTGGTCACACCTACCTCTGTCCCCTTCGGCTAACACACTTCCTGCTTTCCCTGCCCCTGGCCAACTCCCTTCCTGCCTCAGGTTAAATGCCACTTTTCCTGAACCCTCCACTCCAAGTTGTTTTCCTCTCAGCTTCTCTTACAGCACAGAGCTCTTCCTGTTCTCATAGCGTCATCACAACTTATTATCTAGATTTGCATGTGTGATTTGTTGCTGAATTTCTGTATCTTCCACTTGACTCCATGAAAGAAGAAATCTTGTTCTTTTGGTTCCTCTTTGTCAACTCAACATATCATAGAGTTATTGCCACATAGCAGGAGTGGAATAAATTGTCGTTGACTGAATGGAAAGCAGTAGGAATGAATTACGATTCATGGGGAGCTTGGCCTGAGAAAATTGGGGGATACTTTCACTGTGGAATTATCCGTTGGAGGGGAACTATCAGGTTGTTTAGGGGAACTATGAGAAAGAAGGCAATGACATTTCAGATGGACTATCATGACATATAGTGGAGCTATGGAAAAGCTGGTGTGTCAGTGTGAAGGTCTATTTTCTGCAGTAAATATGTGTGGGCCTCAAGGGGAAGGGTGTGGGGCTGTGGTAGGCAGAATCGCGCCCCCCCCCAAAGATGTCCATGTTCTAATCCCCGGAGTCTGTGCGTATGCTAGTTAACATAAGGAAGAATTTCGGTTGCAGATGTAATTGAGGCTTAAGGTTGCTAGTCAGCTGACTTTAAGATGCAGAGGTCATCCTGGTCTTTCTAGGTGAACCTAATGGAATCTCAACAGTCCTTGAACATGGAAGAAGGAGGCAGAAGAGTCAGAGAAGGACTCGACCTTGTTTCTGGCTTTGAAGACGGAAGGAAGCCAAAGGCCACTCACTGAATGCAGGCAACTTCTAGAAGCTGGAAAAGGCAAGAAAATAAACTCTCGCCCAGAGCCTCCAGGAAGGAACACAGCCCTGTGAACACCTCGATTGTATGCCAGGGAAACCTGTTTCAGACTTGTGGCCTACAGAATGCATGGCAAGATCCTAAATTTGTGTTGCTTTAAGCCACTCAGTTTGTGGTAATTTGTGACAGCAGCAGTAGGAAAGAAATGAAGTTATGGATGTAAACTGGAATCAGAGTGAAGAGCCCTGTCATAAAGCTTAGCAGTCTGGCCCCCATGCTGTAGAAAGTGGGGAGCAGCAGGTATTTGAAAGCACGGTCAGCTTGTTGATGGAACCATCTCTCGGTATCAGTGTGGAGGCAACTGATAGCAGAGGGACCACTGTGGAGACTGAAAATATCCCATGTGAGGGACTAGCAAAACCGAAATGAAGGCCCTAGAGGCATTATTATTGTTATTACTATTTTGTCACACGTTATTACTTAGCCTTGAAGTTTTCATAAATCTATATTTTATTTCTAAATTTAGAATAAAAAGTTCCTGAGATACAGTGGCCTTTTTCAAATACTGGTTTGTGTCTTTCTGAATCCCTAATAGTAGCTGCTCAATAAACACTGATTGATTATAGTGGATTATGGCCAGGCAGATGTTCTCACTTCTTCAGATTTGTGCCAATTTCTTAGACAAAATAGAAAGAGTGTAAGGAAGACCAACTGTCAATCACTGTTATTCCACTGACTAGCTGCATCTTCTAGGACCACAATTTTTTGGTCTGTAAAACAGGCTTTAAAGTAATTCCTATTTTCCAAATTTCAAAGAGGAATAGGATAAACTCGAAAAGAACATCGATTATTGGGGGAGGCTGCCCTCACTCCGAGGCTCTAAATTCAAAGCAGAATCCTCAAAACACCATTGATTAGGCAACATCTGCCAATGTAATGGGCTCAACTCAAATCACGAGGACCTTAATTTTTCCTGCTTTTGAAGAGAGTGTGACAGAGGATTATAAAAAGCTGTGTGGTAGTTTAGTTTGTAACTGCCTTCCCCCACCCATTGCCTAAACTACTTAAAAAAAAAATAGGACAGCTGTGGAATGAGCCAGTTCAGCAATCTGTTCCTTGCCTGTCGTCCTGCCCCACTATCTGTGTGTTCCTCTGGGAAGGAATCTGGGGAATAGATGGCAGGAAATCACAGGCAAATTCTAGAACTTCTTGGGGGTGGGGACAGGCAGGGAAAGCACAATATAAAGTATAAAATGCAACAGTGTAGCCAGCTACTCCCTAGGGGCTGATGAGAGGATGCTCGCCTTCCTCCTCGGGGACTGAGGCATTTGAAATTAATTGTTTCCATTTTATATAAATACTTTACCTGAAATGAAGGGAATAAAATACTCTAATGCAACCACAGGCCTCCTTATAAATATGAACATGGACACACACACACACACACACACATCTGAGAGAAATCAAGCAGTGGTAGGTAGCATGTAAATCAAATGGTTAGGTGTCATCATGCCAGCAGTTTTTTAGGTTGTAGCAGTATCCCTTGTGAGCAAGCAGTAGGAATTTTGTGTGTGCCCCAGCTCCCAAGCCCTACAGTGTTTTGTTTTGTTTTCTGAAGATTTTTGTTAAAAAATATAGCTAACATACAACATTATGTCAACTTCAGGTACACCATCATTGTTCAACATTTATACCTAAAGAAGTGATCACCATGATAAGTCCAGCAACCATCTGACTCTGTACCATGTATCACAATATTATTGACTTTATTAATAATTAATGACTGTATACTCAATGCTATACTCCACATGTCATTGACTATTTTGTAATTACCAAATTGTACTTCTTAATCCCTTCACCTTTTCCACCCTGTCCCCCAACCACCCTTTCATCTATCACCCCAATAAATCTTGTACCCATGTGACACCATGCAAAGTTATTACAATATTATTGAATATATTCCTTGTGCTACACCCAACATCCCCATAACTACTGTGTAACAACCAATTTATGCTCCTTAACCCCATCCCATTTTTCACCCACCCCTTCAGCCTCCTTTTCATCTGGCAACCATCAAAATGTGGTTTTTTTTTGTATCTATGAGTGTGTTTCTGTTTTGTTTGTTGTATTTTGTCCTTTATATTCCACATATAAGTGAAATCACATTGAATCTGTCTTTCTCTGTCTGACATTTCACTCAGCACAATACTCTCCAGGTCCATCCATGCCACTGCAGATGGCAAGAACCCATTCCCTTCCATGACTGAGCAATATTCCATTATATATGTGTACCACCTTCTCTTTATGCATTTATCCGTCGATGGACACCCAGGCTGCCTCCACATCTTGGTCATTGTAAAAATGCTGCAATGAACGTATGGATGTACATGTCCCCTCAAAGTAACATTTGGATTTCTTTGGATAAATACCCAGAAGTGGAATTACTGGCTCCTTCTTTGTCTCTTGTTATACCTTTGTTTTAAAGTCTATTTTGTCTGGTATAAGTATTGCTACTCCTGCTTTTTTTTTTTCACTTCCATTTTAATGAAATATCTTTTTCCATCCCTTTACTTTTAGTCTGTATGTGTTTTTCAATGCCAAGTGAGTCTTCTATAGGCAGCATATGTAAGGGTTTTGTTTTCTTATCCATTCAACCACACTGCTTTTGATTGGAGCATTTAATTCACTTACATTGAAAGTAATTGTTGATAGATATGTAGTTATTGTCATTTTATTATTCATATTTTTGATCCTTTTATTTTTTTCACTTTAAAGTAGTCCCTCAAACATTCTTTGTAATACTGGTTTGGTGGTGATGAACTCCTTTAGCTTTTTTGTCTCTGGGAAATTCTATCTGTCCTTTGATTTTAAATAATGGCTTTGCTGAGTAGAATAGTCTTGGTTGTAGATCCTTGTTTTTCATCACTTTGAATATTTCCTGCCAACCCCTTCTGGCCTGCAGTTTCTGTAGAGAAATCAGCTGACAATCTTATGGGAACTCCCTTATAAGTTATTAGTTGCCTTTTCTCTTGTTGCTTTTAGGATTCTCTGTTTTTAACCGTTGCCATTTTAACATGTTGTGTCTTGGTGTGGGCCTGTTTGGGTTCATCTTGTTTGGGATTCTCTGCATTTCCTGGGCTTGTATGTCTATTTCCTTCACCAGGTTAGGAAAGTTTTCAGTCATTATTTCTTCAAATAGGTTCTCAACCCCTTGCTTTCTCTCTTCTCCTTCTGGTACACCTGTGATGCAAATGTTGTTAGGCTTGATGTCCTAGAGGTCTCTTAAACTTTCCTCATTTAAAAAAAAATTCCTTTTTCTTTTCACTGTTCCAATTGGGTGTTTTCTGCTACCTTGTCTTCCAAATTGCTGATCTGATCCTCGCCTTCATCTAGTTTGCTGGTGGTTCCTTCTAGCACATTCTTCATTTCAGTTGTATTATTTACTTCTGACTGTTTTTTTTTATGGTTTCTATGTCTTTTTTTTTTTAATATACTTGCTATCTGTTTGTTGATGTTCTCACTAAATACCTTAAACATCCTTATAACCAGTGTTTTGAACTCTGTCTCTGGTAGGTTGCTTGCCTCCATTTTGTTTAGTTCTTTTTCTGGAGTTTTCTTCTGTTCTTTCAATTGGGATGTATTTCTTTGTTTCCTCATTTTGGCTGCCTCTCTGTGTTTGTTTCTATATATTAGGTAGATCTATGTTTCCCAGTCTTGCCGGGTGGCCTTATGTAGTAGGTGCCCTGTGGGCCCAGTGGCGCAGTCTCCCTGGTCACCTGCTCTGGGTGCTCAGGAGTGTCCCTTGTGTGGGTTGTGTGTGCCCTCCTGTTACAGTTGAGCCTTGATTGCTGTTGGAATGTCAGCGGGTGGGATTGAACCTCAGGCTGAAGAGCTGTGGGGGTGGCCACATCCACAGCTTATGGGCTGCTATACAGGCTTATCACATGGACTGGGATTTGCCCCAGTGGACTCTGGTGCCTGTTGAGACTGCCCAAGGGGTGTGCCACTTGTGGGGTTAATTGGGCAGTGCTCTGCTGTGGTCTGAAGCCAACCTCCAAGTATGTTGGTTCTGGGGCCTCTTGGGAGGGGTTCTGGTGCAGGCCCAGGTCACCCACTGCATGTGACCATCTGTGGACTACCTGATAAAAGCTACAGAGTGATCCATGGTTAGTCACTGCTTATGCTGGACCTAGAGGTGCGTGGGAGAGGCCACGTTGCGAACCAAGCATGGCTGCTACCAGTACCAGGTCTGGGGTAGCTCTGCAAAAAGCCAGGACACACTGCGGCCTGCTGCCAATTCAGCTTCTGTAAGGGCTGACACCGATAAAGCCTTGTGTGATATGGAGTTGGGTGTGGCAGGTTCTTAGTGACTCACCAGGGTGGAGCAGGTGGAGCTCACTAGACCATTCAGATTCAGATTTAGCTGTAAGCATAGGGGGAGGGCTCAACACAGGAAAGATAGCGCCTGCCTGCTGGCTGCAAGGGAGGAGGACCCCCACTTAGGGAAAACGGCAACTGACTTCCAGCTCTTGCCTGAAACCAAATATACTTTAGTCTGTCCCCTGTATGCCTCCAGCACCTCCCAAGTCTCCGTCCCTCCACCAGAGCCCAAGGTGAGTGCCTGTGAGTGAGTGAGTCTGTGCGTGGCCATTTAAGAGGATGACTGGGTTTCCTGCAGACTTCCATCCCACACAGATGGTCTGAATCCCCACTCTTTCACAGCCAGATGTTATGGGGTCTCCTCTACCCAAGCACCAGTACTCTGGGCTGGGGCACCTGGTGTAGAGCTGGAGTCCCTTGCTCTTCTGTGGAGAACCTCTGAAGCTGAGATTTCCTTTGCAATTTTCATCTACCACGTGGAGGTTTGGGACCAGCTGTTTTGAGTCTGCCCCATCCCAGTCTCAACGTGGGTTATTTATATCCTGAGTTATAAGACTTCTGTTTAGCTAGACTTCGGATGGTTCCCCAAGTTGATTATTCTATAATTTAGTTGTATTTTTTTTTAAAGGTTTTTATTGGGGAATTGGGGGATGGGAACAGCGCTGGGGAATTTGGGGAAGGGGAACAGACAAGTTGCTGTCGTTTTGTTCTTCAGTCTAGTTGTAGAGGACGTTGCTTCACTGGCCCAAGTTGGCACCATCATTGCGCTCTTCTCGGGCGAGGCAGATCAGTCGCCAGCTTCTGGACAGCCGCTCACTGCGGCTGCTGGCTGCTCACGCTGGCTTAGTTGTATTTTTGATGCATTCACGGGATGAGGCAAGCACAGAGTTTACTACTCTGCCGTTTTAGATCGTTCGCAAGGATCAGTGTTCTGCCGTGTCTTTGCTGCAGTGTTTGGGCACACCCTGCCTGCAGGCGTTGGATAAGCTAGTAAACAAACAGTGTCCTGTTTGCTGTTGGTGATTGTGCTTTAGAAGGAATAAATTCCTGGTGCTTCGTGTCCAGTAGTGGAATTGAGCTTTTAAAATGCAGACCCACATGCAT